CGTCCCGCCCCGTCCCGCCCCGCACCCCGCACCCCGCGCTGCCACCGGGGCGCGGCATGTCCGTGTCCCCGCGGGTTGTGGCCGTGTCCCCGTGGGCAAGTGGTGGCCACAAGCCCCCAGGGCTGTGGCTGCGGGCCCATGGGAGGGAGGTGGCCGTGGCCTCGTGGTCAGTAGCCATGGGCCCGCAGGTGGGTGGTGTTAAGGTATTAAAGTTGCTTTTTTATGTTAAGAGATGTACTTGTCATTACTTTTCCATTTGTTCAGACTGATGAAGAATGACGACACTCACAGTGACTGATCATTCTGTTCCTTTCATAATGTGCTAAATACTTTTGATAGCATAGCTTTAATTTAAACTGCATCTGATACGTGCCCATGTTTGCATGATAGATTAAGCAACAGTCAGCACTTGTAAATTTAACTCTTATCTAAAACCATGATAGCAAAGCAGAAACAAATTGAAACAGTCTTCTTTGAACAATATGCATTAATGTTCAGCTACCTTGTAGTATTCAAATGTTGACATGCAAAGAGAAAACTACTTGGAAAGATTTAAGAATTTGTACTGGATGCTTATAAAAGGCAAGATTTCTGTGTGTTTGGGCAAGTACTGGAGGAACACTGTTGAGAAGTCACCTTGTTGCAGCCCTATCCACCATGTCCAGTTTCATTGCTTAGAATTACAACCAGTATCTACAGGAAACAAAGGAGTGGGAGTTGTCATTTTCTGACCATTAATTTAGGTGCGAATCTGCATGGGGGGCTTAGACCCAGATTTATGTACCCCCATTTATCTTATACAGCAGCAGCCATCAGGCCTGTAACTTAGGAGCACAGTCACTAAAGGCATCTACAGCCAATGGTAATTCCAACCACTGTGAACGTTTCTCTGCAGAGGCTTTTTGGTCTCCCCATGGTCCAAAGTTAAGTCTCCAGTTAATTGGACCTTAATTCCTCTCCAGTCCTTTCTTAAGACACCGACTTTATAACTAACTTGCCTAAAATTAAGTTATCTTTCCTTCTAGTTTGTGAAAATCAGTAACAGTCTTGTTGGTAAAGGGTGCTGAAGCATGTGAATATATTTAATTTATGTCAGTCTTTTGACCACAAAACATACATTCTTCAGAGAAGCTGTGTGGCTACAGTGATAGCAACTGGTATTTAAAACCCAGTACTAGTAAATCACAGCAGATAAAACAAATCTGATGTATTATGGCAGCTCAAGAGTGACATTTGACCGTAGTACTGTTGTTCTGACACTGAACCTAGTAATGCAGTTTTGTGCCTCAAAGCAGTCCTGTTCTCCTCAGCAGATCATAACAATCAATTCCTGTTTGGCAAAGAATCAATAAAAACAAGATAACTTTTAGAAAATGGTTTCATACTAGAAATTTGTACAACCAAAATTGTACAAATCCAGCTTTTAGCAGTATTATATGAGGTCCATGGAGGAGCTAGCTGGCCTCGTGTCCACAGTCACCCAGTTGCTCATGTAGTAAAACATTACTGTGTCTGTGCCTGATGTAGACTGGTATAATCTGTATCATTTGTGGAACCTTTTAAAAGACCAAGAGCCAGACCTAGGAAAGGAAATCAGCACTTTCTTGTTAGGCAACAGAGAAGCTCTTTGGAGTGCCTGACTTTAAGACTGGACTTTCAAGATCCATATCCAGACCCAGCTGGAGGATCTCCAATAGGTGTAGTGCGAAAAGCCTCTCCTGTTCCTGAAGTGGCTCAGCTGGTGCAGTAAGATCCCTAGGTCAGCAGCACAGCCTGAGGGCACAGGAGTCTGCAGCTGGGCTAACAAAGTCAGTACTGTAGTCTCAGCCCTTTCTCCCTTTCCCTGATGTATTCTGTATTACATGAGCATTGACGAGTTGCCAAACTAAACAGAGAAGTGCCCAGCAGGTATCAGGATCTGCTTTGTTTGCGGCCTCTGAAGACCTGGCTTTTTCAACTGTGGCTTGCAATTTGAATACCTGAATTCTCCCCAGCTCCAGGATCCCAACAAATCTCCTTCATAATACTCTACAGCCTGGAAATATAGTCTCAAAAGGCCACACATAAGAAATACCTCAGAGGCCCTACAACCATGCTGCTAAGTGATACACTAGGTCATATATTCAAAGTCAAAGGAGTATGTTGCTTGTTTTAACTGTGAAGTGCCATCAGTTATCATGTCACTCCATAATATCAGACACATTCTACACCTTACACCTCTGTGCCTGTCATGAAGCACTTCAGACATCTGCTGGGGATTTTGCATATAATTTCTGCTCTTTTTCTTCTTTGATAACTAGTGTACATGCATTATTTGAATAAAACAAATACTACTCAATCCTTCACACAGAAAAGACTAGCACTGTAAATATATAATTTGTTACTCATACTGGATGCTGTGTCTCATTTACCAACTTTTCACAGTATGGACTGAAGGAAAACTTTTTAAAATAGCTTAAAATGAGAGGAATCAGTTCCATTTTGACAAATTGAATCAGACTATTTTAGGTATAATTCAAAATCCACATGTATACATTTAGGATTTTTAAGAAAGCCTGATCAGCATTTTCAAGTAAAGAATGTTTTATCTGGCATACTGTGAAACTTTGTTCTAGCTGTGGAATAAGAATACTGGTGGGAGGTGTTATAAGATTTGGAAGGTCATGAAGTGCTGTAAGTTTTAATAGGCTATAGTGAAACCAGAGCTTGCTCTATTTAAAGTACGTATAATGTCGTGGCTGCTAAACCATTTCTACATGAGCCTTGCTTGATCTTTGCCTCAGTAAGACATCCTTCTGATTTATTTTGCTTAGCACATCAGCTCAGTAGTTCACAATCAGTGCTTGCAACACCATCAAGTGAAAGAATTTCCCAGGGAGCATTCCAAATTCCATCTCTGCTCTCCAAAAATGTTGCTTATAATGATGCTCAATTGACTTGCAGTAAAAGAATAGGAGCAGCTGTGAAGACAACCTTGCCCTGAAAGGTAGGATGGGAAAAACCCAATCATCCCTACATACACTGATTTCTTCCAAAATGGGAAGCACCGATGAATATCCACACACAGGTGCCTCCACTTGATCATTTGATGGCAATTGAGAAATACCCGCGTGACTCTCATTGTAAGCAGACACCAGCAAATGCCTTTTTTGCAGTATCCGGGCCACTTATGCTTGCTGCCCCTTCAAGAAGGAGATAGTCCAACAGGGCAGGACTATGACTTCAACAGGACAACTAGACAGTAAATTCATCCCCATGTGTATGCAATTTGTCCACCCCTAAAGGTTTTAGGCAGAATATGAGTTGGTTCTGGGATTTTGATTGCACGATAGGAATGAACTTGACACATTACTGAATAGCACAGAACACAGGGCATGCTGAGTGTGTTTAAGTGCCTTCTGAGGGTAGGTATCTGGGCAGCTTACGCTAATGAGGGTCTGTAACCACACAAAGAGATGACTTATTAATTCTCCTGTCATTTCTTTTTTCCTTAAAGCAAGCGCAGGAAATCACAAGCAAAGAATGACATATACTGCAAGACTAGAATTATACGGTTGACCACTTAGAAGGCAGACCACGCACAAGGCAGGATACAAAACTTGCCTGCTCAGGCACAAAGCTTATGATACAAGTTTCAGGACTGTCACCTCATCGTTTTTAGCTGTAAATGTATCTAAGCTTCACCTCCCAGATGATACAATGTAACAGGGGCAACAGCAGATCACCCACCAAAAAAAAGGTGGGTGATATTAACTAACAATTATATGGCTTTTGAAAGACATACCATAGAGTTCAAAAAGCTTTGGAGCTCAAGGCAAAAATAATTAGAAACATTCATGGCAAGCATGATGAGAAAAGCCAGACTAGATTGCCATAATCATCTCTTTTGACTGTAAAATATATGAATCTGCAAGAAATTAAATAGCCCCTATAAAACCATAATGTTCTCCAAAAGGTTTTGCCTGTAACATAAAATACCTTTTATCTTCCTTCTCAAAAATGCGTTAGTAACTGCATGATAAAGCAAAAATGCTCTGCTCCCATTTTGAGCTATAAAGCCTTGCAAATAAACAAAAAAAAATGATACTTAAATTCACAGTGATTTCCTTGAAGTGGATGAAACAAGCAAATAACTTTAGTAAAGCAGTTTTAATAATAATAGTATTTGAGGCTACTTGTATTACACAGAATACTGTCCAGTCTTTGATACAGATATATGCTAATGTGTACTTACTGGCACCAGTTTCAGTATAAGTCAGGAATAAGGCTAGCATGTATGCCATCTTCTTAAGTACTCCTCTGAAATGGCTGTAGCGGCAGTTTTGCCAATTATAGTTCTGTTCCTTAGTGCGTGTGGGCTACAGTTCTGCATGTTGCCATTACAGTTTTGAAATACAGAAGAGATTACAAGAGATTGCACTAACAGTCTAACAAAAGCCACTGAATTCCAGAAGGTTCATCCACGGGAGAAAAGACAGGATTTAGTGAACTGTACTTTCCAGTACACATTCACAACAAAGTCATTTAAAACACAGAATATTCTATGGGTTGATTTGTTGCCTTTTAGTATTGCATACTTTACCAGGGTTATCATCTGACCTGTGACCATGCTATTTACAACTAACTGAATACTGAAGTAGGTGAGGACAGGTGGAGAAAAGATACTAAAAATAAGCTTGTCTAATATGAACCTACTATGTCATTTAATGAATTTCAAGAAGAACCAGAAGTAACTTAATATCTTGAGGGAAACCGGGTTATTCTTATCTTGTGCACAAAAGTAATTAATTGGTCTGACTGCAGTGAGAGATAAAAGTGAATCTCTATCAGTGTGTTTTTAATGAGTATCGTATACAGCACAGGTGTATACATCAGAGCACTTCAGCTTCATACTCTTCGTTTTACTTACCATCAGTTCCTATTTCACTTTTCAGGTCAGTACGAGACTGAAAAAGACACAAGAAAAGACTGAATATTGAAGAATATTTCTTAAACCATTAGTTGTTTGTCATTTTAATGGTGTTAGACTTTAGCAAATTTATGAGGCATAAACTACTTAGCTTTACAATGTCCAAATACTGTTAATTTTAGAAGACTGCTGATTTGAAGCCTATGCTCTCCACTCAATTTACAAACTGGCCCTATTTATTCAGGCTGATGATGTAACTGCCTTATTTGCAGTGTCTTGGTCAGGATACAAATAGAGTGGACTCTGTGATGAATCTGCTCTTGTAGGTGGTTGTGTACTAGTCAGTCTTTCAGAATTTCCTGGAGAATTCTCCCTCCACCTTGGACTTGCCGGCTCCTGAGATACTTCCCACACAGATTGGCACGGGGAGGTAAAATTCATGGTGGATTGTGAGAGGTAGTTCTCCTGAAGACCTTCTTCTTGGAGGCACCTGTTTGAAAGCACTTCTTTTTCTTTGGAGTTTCGCCACTTCATCCTTCGATTCTGAAACCAAATTTTCACCTGTTTGCAAATTAAAGAGAGTTTATTACATTCTTTTATTTAAACAATTTTGCCATAATAAGGGTGCTTTTTTTCCTTAGTTTCATGTTGTTCCTTCTTTATTCATTGCTATAGTAGAACCAGTAAAGCTCATTGATTGACATTATCTGAGGATTTTTCCATCACTATTAACTACAGCTGGGCCAAATACTCTGCTTGACTTTTACCACTTCAAAAAGGTGATTATTTGATTTAGACTGGATAAAGGACAGCCCAATGATTATAGATAGATCCATTTCCTGTATCAACATTCTTCTAAACAGAAAAGTATTCTCAGAGTAAATTATCATTATCATTAATAAAACTATGTTATATTACTGGTGCTGTGAAGCCCTCTACTTAAAAGAGGCTCTAAGAACTATGACTGTCCCGTTCACAGGCATAGCTAAAAACAGCTTTGCCAAATAACTTCAAAATGTGTGTTGACATACAACACAGTAGTGAGGATTTAAAGATATGTTGTCTGCCTGACTACATTTTTCCAGGAGTTGTCTAGAATCCATGTGCTTTTGAGATAAAATCAATTTTTTTAAAACTTCCAAGTTGCAAAGCTTGATCACAAGCATTCAAAGACATTTATGGAAAGCTGAGAAAAGCTTGGAGAAACATGCATCTAGGAACTAATTGGAAATACTCTTCTATGAACTAGTTTCACATTAAGAGAAGAAACAGAGGGGGAGATCAGTCAAATTATTCAGACTGTGTTCTATTTTTTCTTAAGTATTTGCATCTAGTTCTAATATTCAGATACTTGATATGAAGACAAAGGGGCTATGCTTTCAAAGATCTGAAAATCATTGCCTTAGGTGGAGGTACTGTTCCTCCAGCATCACTGGTCAGAAAAATGAAGAAGTAGCCTTCATGGGAACTGCTCTTCCTTTCATGAGGAAGGAAAAAAAAAAAAAGAAAAAAAAAAAAAGAAAAAAAAAAAAAGAAAAAAAAAAAAAGAAAAAAAAAAAAAGAAAAAAAAAAAAAGAAAAAAAAAAAAAGAAAAAAAAAAAAAGAAAAAAAAAAAAAGAAAAAAAAAAAAAGAAAAAAAAAAAAAGAAAAAAAAAAAAAGAAAAAAAAAAAAAGAAAAAAAAAAAAAGAAAAAAAAAAAAAGAAAAAAAAAAAAAGAAAAAAAAAAAAAGAAAAAAAAAAAAAGAAAAAAAAAAAAAGAAAAAAAAAAAAAGAAAAAAAAAAAAAGAAAAAAAAAAAAAGAAAAAAAAAAAAAGAAAAAAAAAAAAAGAAAAAAAAAAAAAGAAAAAAAAAAAAAGAAAAAAAAAAAAAGAAAAAAAAAAAAAGAAAAAAAAAAAAAGAAAAAAAAAAAAAGAAAAAAAAAAGAGGATATAGGTATCATCTGGTCTACCCATATTATTAAATTATTTTCCTGTAGTGGTAGTTGTTATCTATATGTCAGTTTTTACTTCCCTGAGCTCTTCTGAATATTAAGAACACAAAAGAAAAACTCAATGAAATACATGTAATATTAGAAATATACAGGGAAATTTTTAGGCACCACACTGGGGAGTACAATTGCACATTATCATTGAAATTGTTAGTCTTGCAGGTTGCAGCTCTGTTCATAACAGTGAGAAGCACCACACCCTGCTGCTTGTTTTTGTTTATAGTTGCAGTGCTTACAATGGGGTCAGAGTCATCCAGTCTGCAAGGAACCACACCAGACTACAAAATCTAACCTCCTGGGCAAAGTGGAGCCAACTGCAAAGTTACATCAAATTGTTGAGAGCCTTGTCAAATTCTGAAAATCTCCAAGATAAAGATGATCAAAACTCCCATCACCACTCCCAGGCTTTTCTTTCCCCTAGACAGCTTCTGCAATATATATTTTAAGCACTTTTACTCCCACTGCATGTGAAGAAGTAAAATTGTACTGTCACTCTCTCACTTTCTTTCAGCTGTTCTCTAGAGATCTGTGTCTACTCCAGCACCTTCAGAATCCCACCTACCAGTGGCTACCATGTTAATTTTCTGCTGTTACATGCTCTCAAAAACATTTTTCTCCACTGTTTTTCAGGTTTTGGGCTCTTCCAGCCAGGCAGTTTTCGTTTGCTTTTATCTGCAGATAGGTTAGGCCCCTGAGATTCCAGATTGGGCTACTGCCACTCAGCACCACCTTTACCGCACCTGTTCAGTTAGAACAGCTCACTGGAGGTCTTAGACCCTCAGCTAAACTTTGAATTCCTGCAGTAAGCCAGTTCATGTGAAAAATCACATGAAATGTGAATTGGTAAGTGGGAGCATTTCAGAAGGTCACCCTACAAAATTTTTCCTTCTACAGTTTCTCTCAGCTCTGAGGATCTCTCTCCTAGTGCAGGTAAGTTTCTTTTTGTAGGATAGTTGCCTGTCTCTTGGGGAAGAATGGTTTCAGAGCAAGTGCTGTTGACTGCAGTATCACTAGCTGTTCACCTGCGAGTGCAAAGGGTGCTCAGAGGAAAGCAGGAGGGCTCTATGTGCTGCTGTGTTCTGCCTGGATCACTGGATCAGGTAGTGGGATGAAGCATAGTTCCCTACCCCAAAAGCCCCTGAAGGGGCTCTGTCAGATAGCTAAATGGGAGTTGGAAATTCAATGCAGAGGTCGCACTTCTCCCACTTTGTGCGAAAATGGAGCAATCAACTTCTGAATGCATGCTTTCAGGAAATAAACTAGGAACCTGTTCAAACATTCCTTGGATAAAACTGCCATTGATTTACTGAGGTCTTTGCTCAGTGAAGGAGCTCAGGGCTACCCCTGCGCTATTCAATTTTCCTTCTTCAAAGTCATTTTAAAGATTTTTTCCTTAAAAAGACAAAGTCACAGATGTTCTGTCATTACTTACCTGAGACTCCTTTAGACCCAGGCTAATGGCCAATTTCTTCCTGTCTGTTTTACTGATATATTTCTGCTTCTGAAACATTTTCTCCAAAGCTTTCCTCTGGTCTTCAGAAAAGACAGCTCTTCTTAATATACCTCTCCGGGCTTTGGAGTTAGACTCCTGGGTCAGAAGAGGCAGGACACTTTCCTCTCCTAGAGGAAACGGATGAGAGTTTCACATAATAACAGAGAAATATAAAGTGTCGTTCATTATAATGGTAGCAGACTACTGTCCTGCTTTTGATTTGTTGGTGTTATCAGAGTGTCGTAATGCTTCAGTCATGTTCATTAAGGACTAAATCCTCACTTGGATCTAGAGGTGCTGTCAGTGGTCAGAAGTGTCCCCTTGACATGGTAAAAGTAAATCAAATGAGTTCATAAAGGAACATTAACACAGGGCCCATGCAGCTGTAAAATTCAAACACATTCAGAGAGAAATGTCTCCACTGTCCTTTGCATGTTATCATCACTCGGTGAACTGCAGCAAGTTTTCCTAGTGTATTTTCTCCTTGTGTGAAACAGAACCAGATAAAAGTGGACTGTAATACTGATTTAAAAAAACTAAATAGGCTTTCTTTAGCTCTGTTGATTCATGAAAGGCTTTCAGAGAGAGCTATTTCTCAGAAAATCCTTGGCCATTCACTTATGAATGAAGCAATGGATTGGAAACTGTAGTAATTTCTTTATTACAGGACTTGGGAAGTATTTGAATTTATTCCTTTCAGCCTAGTTTCTAGTCCTTTTACATCTCTTAGCAAGTCCTGGGAGGAGAGTTTTCAATGTATCCAGTCACATCCCCTTGATCCATGCCTAGACAGAACCCAGCCTCAAAGTTGGGGGAGAAGCTGCAGTGGAGAAGTAGAAGTGCTCACACTGTCCCTTCATTTGCCTCACAGAAAACACAAACCCAAATAAATCTCTTACCTTCTTCACATCCTAAGCCTAAAGCTATAGTGCTTTTCCATGTTCCCTCTGCCCTAGAAGGATGTGGTGATGGGGAGCAGTCCCTGGTGAAGCTTGGTATGCCTCTGGCACTCCTGGCTTCCCTTAATGCTCATCCAGGGAGCAGCACCAGAGGCCAGTTGAACAGGCCTGTCACCAAGTGTTGGATGGGATGATTGCACAGGGCAGTTGTAAGCAGGCCAGAAAAGAGCTGCCCTTTGATGCAGAGACCTGTGTCATGGCTATTTAGCCACCAACACTTACAATCTTTCTGCAAGAGGGCAGCCACAAAGATGGCTTTGGTTTGTATCGCATGCAAGTGAGACTCTGCACCTTTCCACATACATGGGCCAAGATTGCTATCCCAGTTTACAGTTACAGCAGCTGAACAGCTGTGCTGCTCTTTAATTTCCCTCAAGGATCATTTTCGTATCAAAGCCAATGGCAACATTCCCCTGTAAAGCAGATTTTCTAAAAGATTATACATTATTTCATGAAAAAGTCTGTTTTAGTTAGCTGTAGTGGGGAGGGAAGTAAATACGTTTGACCAATAGATTTTGCTAAGCCTCTATCCATCATATTTGAGATCCTGACACTCTGGTGAGGTTCATACTGATTGGAAAAAAAAGTAACATAGCCCCTATTTTTAAAAAGGGGAAAAAGGAAAACCTGGGGAACTACAGGCCAGTTAGTCTCACCTCTGTGCCCAGCAAGATCATGTAGCAGATCCTCCTGGAAAGTCTGCTAGGGCACATGGAAAGTAAAGAGGTGATTGGTGACATGGCTTCACTAAGGGCAAATTGTGCCTCATTAATTTGGTGGCCTTCTACGATGGGGTTACAAAGATGGTGGATAGCGGAAGGGCAACTGATGTCATCTACCTGGATTTGTGCAAAGCATACGACACTGTTCCATGCAACATCCTGGTCTCCAAACTGGTAAAATATGGATTTGACAGATAGACCACTAGGTGGGTAAGTAATTGGCTGGATGGCCACACCCAGAGAGTTGTGGTCAATGGTTCAGCATCCCAATAGATGTAAGTGATGAGTGGTATTCCTCAGGGGTCAGTATTGGTACCAGTGTAGTTCCACATCTTTGTTGGAGACATGGACAGTGGGATTATGTGTATGCCCAGCAACCTATGTGCCAAGCTGTGTGGAGTAGTTGACACATTAGAGGGAAAGGACATCATCCAGAGGGACCTTGACAGGCTGGAGAGGTGGGCCAGTGCCAAACTCATGAAATTCAACAAGGCCAAGTGCAAGGTCCTGCACCTGGGTCGGCACAAACCCAGGCACAAATACAGGCTGGGGTGAGAATGGCTGGAGAACAGTCCTGGAGAGAAGGACTTGGGGGTGGTAGTAGATGAGAAGCTCAACATGAGCTGCAGTGTGTGCTGGAGCCCAGAGAGCCAACTGCATCCTGGGCTGCATCAAAAGAAGTGTGGCCAGCAGGGCCAGGGAGGTGATTCTGCCCCTCTACTCTGCTATGGTGAGACCCCACCTGGAGTGCTGTGTACAGTTCTGGTGCCCTCAGCACAAGAAAGATATAGGCCTGTTGGAGAAGATCCAGAGAAGGGCCATCAAGATAATCAGAGGACTGGAACACCTCTGCTATGAAGGCAGGCTGAGCAAGTCTGGGCTGTTCAGCCTGGAGAAGAGAAGGCTCCAGGGAGACCTTATAGCAGCCTTCCAGTACCTGAAGGAGCCTATGGGAAGCTGGGAAGGGGCTTTTCACCAGAGAGGGCAGTGATAGGACAAGGCGTAATGGTTTTAAACTGAAAGAGCATAGATTTAGGTTAGACATCAGGAATAAATTCTTCCCCATAAGGGTAGTAGGGTGCTGGAATAGGTTGCCCCAGGAGGCTGTGAAAGTCCAATTCCTGAAGGTGTTCAAGGCCAGGTTGGATGAGACCTTGTGCAGCCTGGTCTAGTGTGAGGCTGGAACTAGATGATCTTTAAGGTCCCTTCCAACCTTTACTATTCTATGATCCTGTAATTCTATATGATGATCTTGAAAATACTAATTAAATTCAGATGCATCTTTCACAAACTGTTCCTTGGGGTACACCACATTTCAACTTCTGTATATTATATATATTTACTCATGGGTATGCATACCTTTAAAAACCCACAGAGAAACAAGCATACATATATTGCGGATATTATAGAATTGTGTATGTATAATGATGAAAAACTGAACTGTATATGTGTATGTCTTGCAAAGTTGACTAAACACTTCTGTGGTGCTTGTGTGTCTAGTTTGATACTACATACATTACCCCTGTATCCTGCCTCCAGCTCTTACCAGCATAGGAATAATATTAGGAGCTCAGAAAGCACATAACAATCCTTCCTTAAGATACACTGCCACTATCAAATGGGACCATTGCATGCTGCTAGGCATGCCTTTCCTACACTTCTCCATCCTTAAGAACCCATATTTACATTTATCCCCCATAATAGCCTGTGACAAAAAGTACAATGTAAAAGGTTATAATATAAAGGAGTTTAAATGTACACAGATGTATTTCAAATTTCAAAATTATGTTTGAGATCAGATACAAAAATCATAACCTCCTGGTACTTTCCTAGTATTTATGACACAGTGACACACAGTCAAGACTCCATCCAAACCAAAATAAACTATGTGTAGAACAGAAGTCAAAATGCCACAGTGGAGGTTTCTGTAAAGGGCAGGCTGGATTCATATTTCCCTGAAGAGTGCACAGTCCCCTCACAACCCCTACCCCAAGCTTCCATCCTGCCCATGAAGCTGGGGGCAAACACTGGTCCTTCTTCCTTGAACATATTTTTCTTTCCTTCTTTTCAACTTCAGTAAATTTAGGTACCTTTTACCAGGTAGCCTCCAAGTAGCTTCTGATGAATCACCAACTTTACAGGAAGGTATAGTCTGACAACAAATGAGGTGGTACCTTGTCTCATCCTCACTACAGGCCAAGAGACATCAGTGAGGCAAGAGGCATAAACGGGTTGGTCCCTGCCTTCTGGCCTCCATTCCACAATGGAGTTGTCAGCCAAGAACAGAGGATGCCAGATTATGTGACCCCTTAAAATCTGTCTTGCCTGGCTGGTTGTTAAAAGTCAATCAGCAAAGAAACAACCTCCTGCTGGAGCCCCGAGGTGCCAATTAATTTCAGTACAGGCAGTGTGTAGGGTACATCTTAATACCTGTATTAGACTAACTTAAGGGTGAAGAATCTACACGCTCTAAGGAACAATATATATCTGATTTTAAAAAATTAGCTAAATAAAATTTAATGATGAGTAGAATGCTCACAGGGTATAGTAAACAGCCACTGGGTCAAAAAATTTGAAACTTTTGTTTGGGATAATGAAGACTCACCAACAACCGACCAGTCTAGAAAAATATTTAAACAATAGCCCATATCCCAAAATGCATGCTGATTGCTCACATGAAAACTGAATTCTGATTGTTGATTAAAGGATTTTTCAGTACAGCAGGACAGGTAGTGATTTGTACGTTACAACAACTCCATCAAAATGAAATTTTTTTAGTCAGTTTGCAGCCTGTCACTCTGAACGTGCATCAAAAGGTTTAGTGCTCTGCTGGCATAAATGTAAATCTATTACCATTTCCTGTGTTGCTGGTTTGATTTTTGTTTTGCTTCAGGGTTTTTTAAGTAGTTCCTTTGTATCCTAATATATAGTGATAAATGTCCTCTTAATCTGTGGAACAATCTTCATTTGCCTTCGTGGCAGAGACCACCTTGAAGGAGCAAGTAAAAGCTTTAGTCATGGTTTCCATTTTTTCATTTGAACTCAATACATTCTAGTTAAATGGACAATTAATAGGTCACTTCCAAAATAGTAGTGTATCAGTCCTGGTTAATAAACAATCCCCGCAGTTGATAATGGGCCTATGTATTCAGCAAGTCCCTGTATACACTCAGCTCATCCACTAAATCCCTTTTCAGGTAGACAGGGTTATATGGGAAGATGAGCTAGAATGAGTCTATAAAAGTCAGTTTCATTCACTGCTTTATTTTTCAGTCAAGTGCTTTAAATGGTGTCCAGAAAATCTCTTGGAATGTGAGACAGGAGAAAAGACTGGCACATAGAGTATTGCTTTATGGCCATACAAAAGGGCAACTGACCCTTGCCCAGGCCTTTTCAATGTGAAATGGTTCCTAAAGTTCATCTGCACAGTGAAAAATTGTGGTGAGGTCGCGTGTGGATGAGTAAAGTGAAAGTGGTGATTGGTCATGGTGCTGTCAGCCATTGTGGGAGAGCCGAGGCCATGTAAAATGCTCTGTGGGAAAGTGTCAGCCCCCTAAAGAGGTGCTCAGAAACTTGCAGCTCATTAAACTGCCAGCATTTGCTGCCTCACTTGTCAAGAATCATTCAACTTAGCAACTGCCCTTCTGAAACATTCATAAAACACATGCACGTAGCCAGGAAGGCTTTGAATGTGACTCTGATAAAAAAGTGTATGCTAAAGCACACATAAGCTCCAATTTTCATCTGGATTTGCAAGGCAATTTGTGCTTTTTCTCCATTTTGAAGGACTAAGAAATTACTCTTCTGCTTGTATTCCTGCATCATATCACAGATATCCCTTCCTACACTATGGCACGGAAACTTCACAATCAAAATTAAATGTAGATTTGGATTAGATGAAAGTGTGTTTCAGCTCTTAATCCTGAACATAAAATGGTCAAATTTCTCTTTAACCTACTTCTTCAATGTTTTACATTGTAATTATAAAAGAAAAACAAATGAAATGTGTCCATGCATTTGACTGTTAGAAAAACAATGTCTGTTTTATTTAATCTTAAGGCTTCCTAAATCATAATTTACCCCTAAGAGACATTAAAATGCAGCATCCATTTAAAGATCTTTCAGCTCTTTTCTCTTCTTATTTGCAAATGTTTATCGACACAGATTTTTAAAAGAGTTACTGATTTTAAAGAATCTTTTCTAGCAAACTGAAAAGGAGCTTTCCTAGGTTAGCTCTGCCTGGGTGTCTCAATGCCATTAGGAACCTCTCACAATTGCTCAGTGTACTTAAGTTTGATAAATCTTTGGAAACCCTCTGAATAGGATTGCTGTGATTTTACTAAGGAATTAGCTGCTGCCATTGCATTACCAATTAGTTTTCCAGAACACATTAAATCCTGCTGCTTTGGTTTACAGAATAACTCAAGCATTACTGATGAAGCATAAAAACTTACTTGGAAAAGCAGTGGGGGATGCAGGGTGCTGACAGGACCCACCACAGCATACTGAGTAGAATGGCGGGGCTCGGAGAAAAAAGTGTTTGGAAAGAGCTGCAAAGAAAGCATAGATCTAATTGATTATCCATTGAGCTTAGGTGATATTCATAACAACAGTCCTCTAGAAAGTCAGTGTGTAAAGTCCTGCCCCACAAGTTCTTTTTCCTTTTTTTCAAGATGGTGATATTTTTAAGGCAAACGATGATCAACCAAGTAATTGCTCTTCAATTTAGCAAGGCTATTTTACATGTAGAACTTAAATACAACATGCAAGACTCTCAGTATATATATCTAAGGATGAAACTCTGCAGATTTGAAATTTACTTCTGTAATTGCTATGATTATGGGGTTTTTCTCCCTAACTACTAGGACTGAACATTTTGTTTAAATAATATGTTGTTGAAATAATCAGTATATTGATGCATATGGTATAATGTATATGGTACAATGAATCTGAAAAAGTTATTTTCAATAAATCTAGGAAGCATGATATCCTAGGAAAAAAAATATCTCTTCCGCTTATACTCCAATGCTGTTATTAGTAGTCAAACAATAAGGTCTTCAATACAAAAGAAACATTTATGAATAAATTATATAAAATGCAATGAGACAATACAGCTGAGATCTACAGGCACAAACTCCAGGGACTGATTCTGCTACCCTGATGGTAAACTCATTCTGGCTGGGGCAATATTCTAAACTGAAATGAACCACTTACTGAAAAAGGCTCTGCTTAATAAAAAAAAAATGCAACATCATCCCACAGAATTAGGTAATATTTGTTAAACATTGTATATTTGGTTTTTTTAACTAATGAATCAGCAGTCTCTGTTATGTCTAAAAAATGCTTCCAAATATTGGAAAAGTCTTCATTATCTAATAATCCCCTAACTTTTTTTCAAGAAACTCATGGGCTTTTCCAGTAATCTTAAATACCTTTAAGTTTCATACTACTCAACTGTGAAACTTGGAGTAGTTTTTGCTTTTGAAAATAGATCCATCACCCTTGCTAGAAATGTATGCTTGTAAAATGTGATCAGCATCAAAACATTTATGTCACTTTCCTGTCTTGGTTTAGGCAGAAAATAAACAGCTCTAGACTTTGTACTGTAGGTTTTTTTTAAGTCTCTATAACTAACTTAATTAATTTTAAAAATAACTGCATACTTAGATTAAAAAAATTAAGACATAGATAATCAGGAAGAAAAACAGATAAATAAATAAATGTATCTAAGTAATGTTTTAATTTTCAAAGCTTTTTCTACTCAAATTAAAAACAAAGATAATCCAAAATTATGTTCCTGAGTATGTATTAGGGTATCTGAATAACTTCTCTGATGTTCAAATCTGCTCATCTCCCAAAGCAATAAACTATCACTGTAGAAGCCTAACTGTGCACATTTTGAAAATATTTACCTCTACTTTTGTCTGAATTCATACAAGCTTAGAAGAAAATGTCTTCAACTGTAATCACAAATTTATAAGCATTCTATTACTACATGTTTTTATCAACACTTTACTGTTTCTAATTAAATACAAATATGTTCCCAGAGGAACCAATTGCCTATTTCGAAGTGTATTGCTTAATTTACAATAATTATTATTTATATCAGGCATTAATATTCTAAAGCTTCTCTTTCACACAAGACTATCAAATGTGAAACTGTGTCCTAAAGAGCTTAAGAGGCAAGAATGTGAAGCCAAATTTTAGCTGTCTCATATATCCAAGGGGCTTCAACACAACTGGTGGGGTGTATAAATTGGAAAGAATCTGACTGTAACTGAAGAAGCACAGGAGATGGAGAAGGAAAACACCTGCCAGATAATCACAGGCACCCTCCTGAACCTGAGAGCCTGTTCTTGACAATAAAGTTTATCTGCCACTACTGTTCTATCTGCTGCAGTTTCCAAACTCCCAGGTGAGGAGCTTTCCCTCCCTTCCTTGGGAGCCACGTTCCTTGTGCCATTATCAAGTTTACCTTCAAGTCACCTGCTTCTAAAAATACCACCTAGAGGTACCATATGCAATCTCCTTGCTTCCTTCTCAAACACCTCAAGTGTTCCTTGAATGCCCTATTCCCCTTTATCATTGCTCAAACACCTTATTCAGGTCATACAATTTTTGTCAGACATAGTAGCCTGTCCTTGATATTCCCTGTTACAGTTTCTTAACTCTCTCTAGTTCTTTGCTCTTTTTTGATAATGTGTGGCTCATTATGATATGTGATACAAGCAAGAGACATGGATAAATCAGAATAGAGTAAGTTATTGCTTCAGATGGGTAGCATGCTCCTGCAAATAAAGACAGAGGGATTGGAAAGGATAGGTTTTCTTCATTCACTGTATCTCTCAACAAGCAAGCTGCAAGCATAAAGGTCAGGAGATGGATCAGGGTCAAAACGTGAGACATCGTGCTTGAGGAAATCCCAAATGAGCCATATATTTCCATGGATGTTGCTGGCAATGATTCAATGCCACTAGCACAGCACCATGATGCAAACAGCAGAGCACTAATTCTGCTCAAGTCGATGGAAATCATGCTTCTGGCTTTCTTGGGCATTCCACTTAATTCCCTGAACAAACTGCTGTCTTTCTGCCTGCATGTCACATACCGCTGTAAGGCAGAATATTTGCGTAAGAAGATGATGCAGGTGATACATCCTCATGTGACTCTGAACAAAGTGGTGTTTGAAGCCATTTCTCAGGATTTATTTATGCTAGATCCTGTGGAATAAACAATGGCACTGTGTCTTTCTATAGAGTAATAGAATGGTTAAGGTTGGAAGGGACCTTAAAGATCCTCAGGTTCCAACCTCCCGGTTATGACCAGGGACAGTCAGTCTACTCAGGTGCAGTCTAGTGAAGCTGTTGCACTCAAACCAATCTGTATCACTGACACAGAGATCCATCAGTAAAAAATCTGGCATCATACAGGGATAGTCAACTGCACCTTAGAGTCCTCTGTAGAGAAAAATGTTAATGCTTCAACCTAACACATATGAGTATATTTTTATCTTTAATATAAAGAGCAGAGAATATTCATTGTATTGAATGGCTTCCATCGTCTGCGTGAAACTGCATCAACAGAATTAAAATTGCTTAGAGAAAAATTATATATTTAAGCTACATGTACTTCAGAATTATGTTCAGAAGTATGCTATGATTGTACTTGTAGGAATGACAAAATATCTATTAGGGCTTAGGACAACATACAGAAAGCATTGTCTATGCTTTTATTTTATGGTCACATACATCATGGCCATTCTATCAGTATTTGTTGGTCAAACAATCTGAAGCAAACATTGTTTCTGTTGACACATGGCTGAAAATTGCTGAAATGTCTGAATATCAGTTCTGTATTTATTGGCTAGAATTAATAACACTAAAACCAAAAGGCAACTGTTGCTTCCAGCCCTGTGAAGCATCCATTAACCATGAGCCAAATCCTAATAATTTGTATTCAAGATCACAGAATCACAGAATGGTAAAGCTTGGAAGGGACTTTGAGAGATCATGTAGTCCAACCCTCTACTAGAGCAGGATCCCTTAAAGCAGATTACACAGGAACATGTCCAGGAGAATTGTGAATGTCTCCAGGGGTTCCTTTTCTGCTTAGCATTCCTATTTCATAAAAACAGAGACTGTGTGGAACTAAGCATTTCACAAGAGTGAGATTTTACAGGTTTAACTTCATAGACATATGAAAATGAAATATCAGAGTAGGGTATAAGTGTATTTTGGCAGTCCAAAAACTGTACTACATGCTTTAAAAGAAAATTTATATGGTCATAAATAGGATGATATATCCAAAATGAAATCAATAATTTATTTTTATTTTTTCACAAAAGCTAAATTTTTTAGACATTGCTACATGAAAAATTTTTGTAATAATGCTTATTTATATTCAGCTTCTTGAATTAATAATATTTCACAAGCAATACAGTTACTCTAAACATTCAAATGGACCTCAAGCTCATCCAGTGCTAAAACTCCGAGATTAGATCAGATCCTGATACTTTAAAATATACTTCCAGCTCTGAAGATATTCTAAAATCAAAATCCCTCCCATAGTAAGAAGTTGCGCCAACAGTGGAACTAGAAGTTTTCCCTCTATCCACCATTTTGAGAGCAAGGTTGCTAAATGTAATTCAGTTCAAATGGACATGCAATTTTAAAATGGTGTGTTATTTAAGGCACTATTTGCTTTTTCTAATCCTAGTGTTGTGTAAAGTCTTGGGAAATAGTATAGGCCATTAGCCAGCAGGAAAGTGGAAAGGGGTAAAGGAAAACTGGCTATTGAGGAAAAGTGAACAGATGGTAAAGTTCTGGTATTACCCATACATGGCTCCTTCACCACACATGCAGTTTGTTGGGGATTTTTATAGCTAACTGATAAAAATGTTGTACAATCCCATGAAGAGAGCTAAAACACCTCTGAAGATTGAGTAAGCTGCCTAGAGCCAGCCAACAAGAATCAGTAAGCGCAGGAACAGAGAGACCTCAAGCTGCGCAAATGCAGTCCTTGAATTCTCCAAGTATTGCTAAATCCACATTAAATGCTTCCCACAGTGATGCCAAGCCTCCAGCCCTGGCAGGCAAATTAAAAATATTATTGATAAAATGATCCCATTTCATTTGAGAATCTTGGATGCTTTGTGCCCGTAAAGCAGGCACAAGTAAACTGTAATTTCCTACTTATGCCTATTCTTGGTCATGATTAAGGCAACCTTTTGCAAAGCTGCAGGAGAGTTTCATGTCATTAAGAGCTCCCTGCAAACAGTCCAACAGTGGCTCTGCCAGGCTAGTGGTCCATCTGAGCCACATGGCACTACTTCTACTCTTGAACCCCAACCCCTGGGCCCTGCAGAGATCCATGGCTCTATGTCCTCAGCAGTTACTGTGTTTAGAGTACAATGCTCCAGCAGCAGTTCTGCATCCCCAAAGCATTTCAGCCAGCTGAAGGGGAGTCCCTGGCCATGAGGAGGAAGCAATAGCCATTGCCTAGGAAGTCACCACCACACAGCTGGTAAGAGCTTGTGGTACAGCATTGC